CCGATTCGTAACCACTACGCTACCAGAGCTCGTGCTTTATTGACTGTGCAAAGGTTTTCACCTATGTGGATTGTAACAAAGTATAGATAACATTGTGAAGAATGGGTATTCCAGAACACTTCATTGTCCTCATGAGGACCCTATATATAGACAAAGAAGCAGCCAGTAGAATAAAACAAGGGGATACTAAGATTTTAAATCAGGAATGGTGTGTGCTAGGGCTTTATACTTTCATCATACTTATTCAAACTGTATGCTGAGAAAATAATCTTTTAAAAGCTGGATTATATGAAGAAAATGGCATCAGAATTAAAGGAAGACTCATTAACAACCTGTGATTCAGATAACACAATCTTGCTGACTGAAAGCAAAGAGGACTTGAAATACTCATTGATGAAGATAAAGGCTACAGCCTTAAATAGATTGTACCTCAATGTATAAAAACAAAAATCCTCACAAATGGATCAATAAATAACATAATGATAAATGGAGAAAAGATTGAAGTTGTCAAAGACGTACTTTTGCTTGGATCCACAATCAACACTCATGGAAGCAGCAATCAAGAAATCAAATGGCATATTGCATTAAACAAATCTGCTGCAAAATATTTCTTTAAAGGGTTCAAGAGCAAAGATATTAGTCTGAGGACTAAGGTGCACCTGACCCAGGCAATGGTAGTTCAATAGGCTCATATGTATGTGAAAGTTGGACAAAGAATAAGGAAAACTGTAGAAGAATTGATATATTTGAGTTATGGTATTGAAGAATAATACTGGAAGTAGTGGACTGCCAGAAGAACAAGCAAGACTGTGTTGGAAGAAATACAGCCAGAATGTTACTTAGAAGCAAGGATGGTGAGACTTTACCTCTCATACTTTGGATATACTGTCAGCAAGGACCAGTGACCAGAGAAGGACAGCATGCTTGAAACCGTGTAAGCTCAGCAAAAAAGAGAAAGACCTCCAACAAGATGGATTGAAACAGTGGTGTCAACAGTGGGCTCAAATATATCAACAATTATCAACAATTGTCAGGATGGTACAGAGCAGGTTCAGTCTGTTGTGCATAGGGTCACTATGAGTTAGAACTGATTTGATGGCACATAACAACAACAACCATAATCCTTCCTATAGAACGTAGGATAAGATTGGCCTATGGCATGGAGGAAGTAGAGGAGAAGGAAGATGTCAGACCTCAATAGTAATTGTCTCAGCACAGAGACATTAACTTATTAGCAACCCAGACATAAAGAGCTGGTTAAAATATGAGTATGAGATTAAGCAAAGTTCATTATAATTACAACACTGTTGTCAGTATTACAAAAATTATCTTTAAAGCTGTCACATTTTACTAGAATTTAAGTTATGAAATGAATAAGTAAGATAGAAAGTTTGACAGTGAATTATAATTATCAGTAAATAAGGCACTGTGGGGAAAAGCACCAGACTGAAAGGTCACTTTTAACCATGAAGTTAGCAGTTCAAACTCACTGTCATTCCTTGGAAAACCTATAAAGGGTCACTATGAGTCCACACTTAACAATAACAACAATTCCTCTATTGCTTTCCCAAAAACTGTTCCAGAGGCTTATGTATCTCCACCTATTTAGTCCTTTTATTTCTTTCATTGTCATTTTATACTTTTTTGTATACATATCCTATACATCTTGAATAAATCAATACCAATATATTTCATTTCCTTTGGAACAATTATAAATGCTATTGCATTTTTTTTATCTTGATTTCCACATGTATACAATCACAAATTGAAGAGGAATGGTGTTACATTCATTGTCAAAAAGAACATATCCAGACCAGTCATGAGGTACAATGCTGTCTGTGATAGGATAATATCATGCTTGTACCTGGAAGCCCAGTCAATACCATTATTATTCAAATTTATGCACCAACCA